GGAAATATGCTAGTTGTCACAGTTCCACATACGAAAACCCACCAAAAACGTATATTTACTGTTTTGTCCGAGAGTAGCATTAACGATGTAGAATGATACAAAAAATATGCTGTTCTCCGACCATCGAAAGTCGTATTTTTAGGAAAGTGTACAATACAACCCCTACACGTATTAATACATTCTATCGTATACCCAGAATGATTGTGGAGTACCTGAGATTTGAAAACCTTAAACACTATACAGGTCATTCTTTAAGGCGATCTTCAGCAACTCTTTAAGCGGATAAATGAGCTGACAGCACTGCTCTTAAGGCTGGCGTCTAGTTCGGTTTCACCCTATAGTAAATACATTGGAAACATCGTCGTGGTTTCCAGAGTTATATTTCAAAAATACTGAAGTCTGCAACCAAAGCAGAGTCTAAGTAAACCTCTATTCTGCTACCGCATCACAGCTCGTTTAATGCCGATTTCTCGATTCAATAGATTCTGACTTTTCGAGAGTTATTTATCTCAGTCGTGGATTTTTTAGGATTATAAATGGTATCAAAATAAAGCTGACACTTTTCCCCAGGGGACCTCCTAGCTCAAAATGCAAACCACTTCAGCACTTCGTCAAAAAATGCATCAATGTGTCGGTTAAAGTGTGATGTAAAAGTTGATCAATTTTATATTTTTTTTTTGTAAAAACTGCAGACTAGATATGAATAGATATGAATATAAATATGGAGGTCCCTTGGATTGAAGTTTGTTAATTCGAAATATAATTTTTTTAAAGCAATATATCTCGTATTTTTAAAATGCAACCCCGGAAACCACGACAATGTTTTCAATGTATTTAGCCTAGGGCGAAACCATTATATCATGGGGCGAAACCAAACCAGACGCCAGCCTTAAAAGGTTTGGCTGATGGCCTTCTGATAAAGTTGCAGCAGAACACATGGAAGATTCTGTGCATCAGAAGATAAAAATTACCCGGAAAGTGATGATCGATGGTTCTAAAAGCATTTCTTCAGTGAAAGATAATAATTTTTCATGTGATTTTGTGGACAATAATGTAGAATTGGGAACCAAGAATAGAAATGAAACGTTCACTGAACTTAGGGGTACATCAAGTTTTAATACTGGTCCTGGTTCTGTTCTTAAGTTCCATAATTGTGTTGTACATTTTCATAAGAATTAATAATAAAAAAATATATCAAATTATTGTTTCCTTGCTCGCCAGATGCAACCGAACCTGGCAGTGTAAGCAAAATTCCAATGCTATTGATATATTCAGAAAAATTGAGATTAAATTGCTTTCACACAAATATGTAAAATTTGGGGATTTTCTAACGGTTTAGCTGAAGAGTGCAGTTTTAAAGCTTTAAGCTGATTAAATAAATTAATTCCGTCCATGTCCGCCTCACCAAGGGAATCATCAATAAGTTTTAAATGTATACTAAGATCACTTTAAACACATACTAACAATATTTTACAACTTTCGTCAAAGAACTCGAAAAACTGTAAAACCATAAATTATGACAAGGTGACCCCCAAAGACCGTTTGTTTGGGATAGCACAGGAAATTCTGTAGGCACGCGATATGGCTTACAAGTTTACAAGGACCCTAATGCGAAAAGCCGATTGTCAACCAGATAATCCTAATTATGTCATAAAATTTTATTAAATAGTATGCTTTTAAAGTGATCTTACAATAAATCTTTACAGTTTTTTAACATGTCTTCTTCTGAGGAATTAAACACATTATTGAAAAACCCTTTAGTTCCTCAAATCTATTATGTAAAGAAGACAACTTCGTCATTCTGCTCGTAATCAGAATGTTTCGGTTTTCTTTTTGGACGCACGGTTTGGATTGACGGAAAACATGGTTCAACATTAATTTCATAGACAACTTTGTATGCTTCAATTATGATTTCAGAAAAACTTTCATCTGAACGATACTTGGTACAGTAACCTATTACATCTTTAAGTGTAAATTCATACATACTTTGGTGTTGATACTAGGATTCTGTATGATTTTATTTAAGATGTTGATTTGATTCAAAATTTCAAACCAAATTATTGTTGAACAAATAAATTTATAGTTTTGTATGTTTAAAGCTTTTGGATAAGCTTTATGTGCTATGGTACAATCCTATGCAACGTATCTTCGGATATTTCCAGCAAAGGATACAAAATTTTGCAAATGTGACACCGTATAAATACCTAAAATAAAGCTGTTTTTCCGAACAGTGCAAACTCCAAACTGCAAGTGCAAATAACAATTGTGTTATATTTGGCAGCTCGGATACCTACCTACTAATTTTTGGGGCAATGTTCTGACAAACAACACCCGCAATTCTCGAAACTTATTCTTTTATGCTTTATCGATCTACAAGTTTGTTCACCATGCACCATAAAAACCGTTGTTTATTGATTTATCGATGACCAGATGACCCAAAGAATACAGAGAATTTGCTTTTTCAAAATAAACGCTTTTTTCAACTTGTACTTTTTTTTTTATTAAGAAATTCAGAATACATCATTCCATTCGCCGTAAATTTAGATACACTATATTTTGGCGTTAAAAAAAATCCATAAATATACTAAAAACGGTGTAGACCTGTTATAAACACAAAAAATGTATTTTTAGAGTAATTTGCATTTACAGTGTAAACAATTTTATGGAAATTTTACTTCCAAAGGTATTTTGACAAGCTAATGTAAAATTATATTTTAGGGTAAAATGAAAATTACCACTCCCATGTAAATTTACTTGATAAAGTAAAATTACATACTCTAGTGTATACCTTATAGGGTAAACTTATTACTTATATTATATATGTATATTATTATATTCTTACTGCAAATTTCCACCTATGATTTTCAGAGATCTGCAACTTATAATGTCGAGACTATCAATTTTTGGTAATTAAACACATATCTGCCTTCTATTCTTTAAAAAGAATCTCCAAAATTATGTTATACAAGGAACACGGAGACCACTTACTTAAGTACTTCACACGAATATGAAAACATTGATAAAAGTGAGGAATGAATATTCCATATACTAAGTTGTATACTATAGGGACATTTCTTATATAGAATTGTTCACCAAGTTTTGCTGTAACTATGTACCTGTTTCGGTAGCGTCGTACCTATAAAACGTGTGAAACATAACCTAAAACAAATACAGTATCTCCAAACACAACAAACAAAAATGAATGATTCAGGCAAATATGTATACATTTCTATAAATTGAAGACTTACCTCCAAATAATCCGTCGCACATCAATTAAATTATATTATACATAGCAGTAACAAACTTTTACGCAGAGATTCTGTAGCGGGACAAATGAGTACCTACAGTCCGTCTATTTTAATTTTTCCATGATAGTGTAAAACTCATTCTGTCTTTTTTCTACCACCGATGCTTTACGTTATGCTGTGAGAAACAAGAACAACAAAGCCCTATCTCATTTTAACTTAAGTAGATGTGCGAGAGAGAAAATACATAGCTCCGCCTGTCGGAGTGAAACCAGAAATTTGGCAGAGGTTCTCAAATAGTGATGTATTGTTGCAAGCTTTATAATAATTTATAATATACAACAAACAAAAAAAGTGAGCAAAACGTGTTCTGAAAGCTAAACATAACACTAACTTAAAATTTATATTTCAGCTGTTTCATTAAACATCTCTTTTTCAAGTTCAACAGTTTTTTGTTTTAAAACTTCTGCTTTATACGAACGTTCCGGTAGGGTAGATCTTTAGGACCGTAAATGCTAGGCAATACCTAAGTACCATCTCAACCGCAATGAAAGAAAGTGAGACAAAAACATTAACGTTTGAGAAATATTATTTGTTACGGTTTTACAAGACTATGGAATTCTTAAAACAGACGGACTGTAGTCTTAGTACCTACTCTTGATCACGTATACATGCAATAATACCAAAATATATGGTATATTTACCAGTGGCGGCTTGTGACCCCTTGAAATGGGTAGACACAATTTGATTGATGAGTAAAATATGAAGATATAGAAGAAGTTGATATTAATTATTATCAATTAATAGACGAAATTGTGTGATGAAAATAAATACAAAGATACACCCAATAAAACTAAAAAAGGATTTCTTCACATACCTTTTAGCCTGCGGTTAAAATTTTACATTCATAGCATCTAAAAGTTCATTTTGAACAGTTTTAGGCGTTCCTTTAAAAATCGTTGCTTCTTTCAAATGATTTGATAAAGCAGAGTTCTATTCAGCCGTAAAATCAATCAGACCTCGAAATATACCTGGATTTTGTGATTCTCTACTTTCGTCATAGCTACGTAAAACAAGTTCAAACACTCCGCAAAGTTTTATGCACATTATTATCAATCGGCGTAATATATGGCGATTTTTGTCGACCCTTGCGTTAGGTATGTGCCCGAATATCAGTAATATAGGCGGTGTGTAGTTGTTTCCGAATGTCTGTATTACCGAGAAGATTATCCAAGAATATTTATCATACGTGTTCGCGCAGAATGAAAATTAAAACCCGCGACAGTAACTCAGTCCTGCCGAGCACGGTCGAAACGGTACCCCTGTCCAGTTCTATCAGACGGCTAGGACGTGTGGCTTCCATGGCAACGGTGTAAACAAAACATCAAATGTAGCGAGATAAAAAAAATAGTTTTGATAATTAAGTATGACACAAATTTCCTGATAATTTTTTAAATATTGAAAATTATTATTTTAACATGGGAACACGTGCCCTTGTGCCCCCCGGCACCAGCCGCCCCTGATATTTACCCAGAATCGAGCAATTTTGAACTCATCACAGTAAATTTACACAGGTGCATAATGACGATAAAGTGTATAATTATAATAACAAATTAAGAGTGATGGAAAGACTCCTGGTAAAGTTTTTTCTTTTTCTATCTTATGTACTTTGTGTGAGACGAAAAATCAACAAATTTTGAGTATGTCGTAGAAATTTTATGTCAAATTTTAAAATTTGTTGTCAGAATTATTTGTCAAAGGGAATCTTTGGTTTATTTACTACTCGACTTAATTAAAATGAAACGGTTTTAGCGATCAAACAAAACAAGTTATATTAAACGTGTTGGATTATCAGAAAGAAACTATGATGTGCGATTTAAGGAAAAAAACAGAACTGGGGCCGAAATGTTAAAAATTTCTGAAAAATCTTAATATAATTTGCAAAAAAGAACAGTTTAAGTGATACGGAGTACAAAGAGAATAGGTATGTCCACTACTTATTAGAAATATAAAAACTCAAGTAAATACTGTAGATTTAATGTTAGTTAGGGAAATTACGTGTAAAACGATTGATTCTAACGAACACGTAACTATTAAGTCACTTCATGCTAGAGTTGTGGAAGAGATACCGGACTTTAAATTTGGACCCAGGATACTAAACACATGGGTTAGAAAAATTGGTTTTAAATCTTATAAAATTAATATAATAATAATCGATTGTTTCTAATGGAGAGACCATCCATTAAGCCAAGAAGACCAAAATTTTTGCGTGAATATCAAGCACCACAAAAAACACAAAATTATGAAGACCCATTTTTCTGGATGAAACATGGATATTTAGTAAAGGTAGTTTATATAAAAAACATGGCAAGACGGTTCAACACAAAGTGCAATTAAAAAAATGGGAGAAGGATGTAGATATGTTGTATACATATAGTTCACGCTGGCAATTATACGATTTACTGAAGGAGCGTCTATAATTTTAAGGCAAAAACAAAATCTGGCGATTATCATGATGACATGAACCAGGAAAATTTTGAAAACTGGTTTAAAGAGCAATTAATATCCAATTTTCTAGAACCGTCTTTTATTATAGGTAATGCATAATGAAACTTACCACAGTAGAATTATAGTGTTTTTTTTTAGTTTTGATAAGTACCTTATACTTATGTTTCTCTTTTATTTGTAGAAAGAAATTCCTCGAAAGAGTGGGTCAAAGAAAAAAATGGTGTCATGGTTAAACACAAAAAAAGATAGGTTGTCCTGAAAAACCGATAAATGATAAGATTTGGAATATTGTGAGCAATAGACTACCAAAAAATTGTATCATTTAGATCAGTAAACTCTAGAATAGCGATATTATGTTCTAAGACTTCCTTTATACCATTGTCATTTTAATGCAGTTGAAATGGTACGGTCAGAATGTAAAAGAAAGTACGATAAAAGTATTCCAAAAACTAAGGCTTCTCCTGTTGATGTACTGAAAGCTTGGGAAAATATAATAAACCAAGTTCCCAAATATACTGGGAAAATTATATTAAATCATAGATTCGGCATGGCAAACGGAAAAGATTCTGGGCAATTGTGAAACAGATCAAGCCATTATCAATGTTAATTCCGTTTCCATTGATGATTTAGAGTAGTGTTAAAAATTAAATTCTAAATTAAAGAATAAAATATTAATTATTCAATTAATTTTGAATTTTTGCAATTTGCATTGATATATTTTACTGCAAGTTATCAGTCACATAGAAGAAAGCACATACTTTTGGTCACTAAAAAAACGTCACAGTCTAAAGTGTCTGGAACAGGAAGATTTCCAAGACTTTACCTCTAAAAATAGCGTATAGATACACAGAAGTTAAAAAATACCTCAACAAAAAGTAATTGTATACCCACAATAAAGGAGTGAAATTTATTTTACTTCAAAATTAGGGGAAAATCACTTCTCCATGTAACTATTACATTTACGTACGGTGAAATTAATTTGTTTACAGTGCAGATTTTTAATGAAGTTTTGTAATGCATACTGTCTAACCGTAACTGAAGTAAATGAAAGTTTACCCTTTTAAGTTATTATAGATTTAATTTGCAACTTCTTTACACATAAGTAAATGGAAAATTGTGAAACTTCGATTGGTAGATTTTTTTATTTAAAAAATATTGTGTTTGGTATTGAAGCTCCAAACATTTTGTCTTGCACTGCCTCACGATTGCAATTGATTGGCAATAATAATTAAGTATAATTCTGCTTGTATTTTTTTAGCAGGATGCTGACTCTCTGTTTAAAAATAGTCCTTGTGAAGTGATAATTCTGTTTCAGTAATATCTCCTTTATTTTTCATAAGTAATAATAATAAAAATATTTTACGATCCATTTTCTCCATATTTATAAATTTTGTACAATCGGTTGCGTGGAGCACTGGAGAAACCTTCGTCGACAGTGGCAGCAAATAAGTGTCGGATGGAGCCACGACCAGGGCGACAGGATTCGTTCCGAAATTAGTTCTGCAGCGCTATGTATTAGTCGTCGGCGGGATATTCCGGAGATATATGTGTGTTTTATCTAAAATTTATGGCATTAGTTAGTGTGTTGGAGAAGTTTTAGCGTAATAATGGATAACATCCGATCCATAAGTGATGAATGCGTCTCAGTTGGACGAATCCATCATTTATGCGCCTCTGTCAGACTGGCAGCCGATTACGTATTGATGCCGGCCAGATCCTGCAGGTGACCACGAAGAAGGCCGCACCGATACCTCCGCCGGGGGCCAATCAAACCCCACTGATTTGTCACCTGTCTTCATCGGGCCCAACCTACCCACATACTCTACTTGGAATTGGAATTCTACTGGTAATGTGTGCGCGCAATCGCGAATCGGCGCACCGCCTCTCGCTGACCCGATAAATTCCTCGGCGCTCGAAGAGTGCTTCTTGACGCTTCCACCGTGGACGCCACACGGACGCGCTTCGCACCAGGTGAGCGCTCGGGACCGATTCGACCCGACCCCGCACGAACGCCGTTCATGGCCTGCCGCGACGAAAGGCCGCTCAGTTGCTTCCAGGCCTGTGAAGGGTAGTGATACTCGCAGGCGCTCTGGCTCTATATCGACCGCGTGTTTCTTGCCACTGGGAAATTTGACTGCGAATTTCGAGTGTGACTGTGTCTGTTTGTGCCGACTCTGACGTAGTATATCCGTGCATAACTGTTCTGTGTTTGCTGCAACTTCAGAAATTCGTAGCCGCCACCAAGGCGAACTAGACTGGAGTGAAATGCTCGCAGGACAAAACGATTTGAACCATTGCTAGAATTGTTGTGGGGGATATTTTAGAGCGACTTTCTGTCACGCCGCCACTGATTCATGTAAGTTTTTTTATTAGTCGCATGATGTTTGATTTTTGGCAGATTTTTTATTTGGGGTGGTTGGCCGAAAAGTCGTTGTAATTTTAACAGAGTTTACCTTTATTCAACAAGATTTTTCACTGGTTTCTTAAAACGTGAACACCGGTTGCAGTCAGTGGCGTGTTTGTTTTGCGAATTATCTTGCTTGCCGACCAATGAAATTTCATCGTTCACGTCACGTGTTGACATCCATGCGGATGGAAAAAGGCGATCATTTGAAAGTTTTTCACCTCATGTTTTTCAATGAAACTTTCATGTTTTATTGCTGACAATTTAAAATTTTACAATTTATAATCAATAAAAGTGTGAGAAGCAGTAGATCAGATATACATTTTTTGTACCGATCTTTCTGTTCAATATCCTTTTCGCGAGTTTACAAAATTAACAGTTCTGCCTTAAACTATTCACAAATGTAAATAAATATTAATGTATATGCCTAGTGCTTGAAAATTGAAAAAATAATTATTCCACGTTTACGTTTAAATTATACTAGTTTGAATCTTATTTAGCTGATAAATGGCACTTACCAGAGTCAGAGCGATGTTTTCCCGATTAATGCCCCGACAGCTTATTTAGAATCAGCAGTATATACATTCAATCAAATGGTAGTGCGGTAGATGCTAATGAATGTGTAATATATTTTGCATTTTTAGTTTTATTTTCCTAATAGAAATTTTATTTCTGAAGTAATACATTTCTGAATTATATGTTAAAAATTAATGATAGACAGAACATATTCAGTGGAAATATGTGTTTTATTATCAGCCACTTGCGTTGATTAATTTTTGTATTCAATATAATATGGAATTACTATAGTAAGAAACAGGTTCACAGAACTGGCAGGATCATTAGGCGACTAGTGCGTGAAATCACATTGGGGCAGGAAAATGAAGTTATTTTGACGAGACGTAGCCGAGTTAAAAAATCGTGCGAGCGCCTCAAAGGCGCCTCGTAAGTAAATTACACATACAGTGTTTTATACGGCTGTACTTTTCTTGTAGTAATATCTATAAGCCTTCTTTATTAACAAATTGCATCATTTTGTAATTTTGACTTACTTTGAGATACAGTGCGAAAAAAGACGATATTAATTACAGAGACATGCTGTCTACCAAAATATGTTTTTAATGTTGCTATGAAATTGTTTTAATAATTCATTAAATTGTTCTTGAGTTAGGCACTTCTTCTCGGTATAGAAAGCCAAAAATATTGCATGATCTTGCTAGTGGAAAAGTCCACCTATAGTATCTACACTTCCCTCTTCTCTTTCATAAATACATACACAATTTTTTCCAAAACTAAGATGAAATAAATTTCGTAAAATTAAGGTAACCCTGTAATTTCTTCTTCAGATTTAAGAACATAATGAAGATAAAGAAAAATTGAGAATGAGCATTAAAGAATTTTTTAAATCTCGACAGCAACAGATTTTGTTGTAGAACAATTAGGAGAAGAATCCGTATTCAAATTATTCCAATTTACGTTTGAAAGCTATCCAAATTTGTTCACCAGCTGGTGCGATTTTTAAATACAATTTAATGTAACAGATCTAAAAACCAAATTTTAATTGTAACAGGAGGTTTCAGACCAACCATCTGCTAGCCTTAAAACTGTCTGAATTTTAGCAACATGCACTGGAATCAAACCGTAGATGAAGTGTATAAGCAATTGAAACCAGTAGATAATGTAATTTTTACTCATTCGAGAAGCAAACATTCATTACGTGCCATGTATTTAAAATAATAAACCAAAACTTTGACAACATTTCTGTAGGTATATTGCGTGCAGATAAAATTTTAATGACAAGATTCACAATGTGTTCCACAAAGACAAGAGGTGTACATTTTTTCCCAAAACTAGCAAATAAAAACAATAAATTATTAAAACCAAGGTAAGAATTTTATTTTCAAAACGCAATTTTTAGCAAGAAATACATCCATGTTTAAATAAGGTCCTAGTGTATTCAGTATATTAGTTCTTCAAATAATTGTTATACATATTTGCAGAGAAATGAATCATTTTAATAATAACTTCATAATTGTGATTTTTTTAGTACCTACTGTGCTCAAATCAGGTAGGAGTACTTACATATTTTTTAAAATTTTCTGTGCTGAACATGAGAATTTTTTTTGGCAAGTAACGCTTTGGAAATAGGAAGCGCTACTGATTTGTATGTATTTCTTATATAGGTAATATTTTTTTTAAGTTGAACTCTAGATATATAACTATGTATAGGTATATTTTATTGTTCAGACATGTACATTTTGCTTTATCACCAATATTGTGACTGGTTTCCGTTGGTTTTCTCCATTTACGACGGAATTACAAAAAATATTGAGTTGATAGCGACAAATAATTTTCAGAAAAGACGAAAAAACTTTCTGGCATCAGAAACGCCGCCAACCAGTATAACTATAAAATTATACTTCGGTTTGTCATGGATAAAAAAATGTAATCAGACTCCGTGCAAATCTGTAATGGTCTTCATAATTTTGGATTCATTGAATTTGTCAATTTTTGTTTTCTTTTTTTTTGCTGAGTTGTGTTTTAACAATACTCAGTTTTGTTGTTTCCTTTTCCCAGTTCAAAAAAATGTGCGTATATTGTGCATACTAAATCAAAATTTCTTCGAAAATCTGACCAGTGCAGTGATATGATTACTGCATGACTAATCGTCGGGTAAATCTAAAATTTTTGAAGTCGGTGCTTCTTATAGGTAGGTTTGAAATGAGCACCAATAGTATTTATAGCAATGGATTTTTAATGCATTTTATTTACATGATGCATCGATTTTTTTTGGCCGAGTCATAGGTGACTATTTGAGGGTAGTACCCGAAAGCACATTTGACAAATGTCTGATTTCACGTGTTTTCGGCGTTTCATGAGTCAGTAATCACACCACGAGCCGTCAGACGTGCGTGTGTGTTAACTGTGATCTGTGTTTGCATTTTGTTTGTAATTACCTTTATTAATCATCACTCCAGGGGTTGAAATATTGCGAAAGTAGTAGTAATAACAATAGTTGATTTATATATACATATATGTATCTTCATTTTCAGTAACGAAAGAAGGTGGTAGTATATTTAGATGTTTTCACTAAATTGTCATACTTCATTAGGTACAGTAATATGATTTTAACTTTTACGATTGGTCACATAGGAAGTTTCGAAAAATATATGTATGGACCGAATTATTTTATCAATTGTTTCAAGAGTGGTTTATGCGGTTTTAGTAAAAATCTGAGAAAAGAGCGACTGTAGTGACTATAGTTTAAAATTACATACTACATAATTTATTTATTTTGTTTTGCACCAGAATACATCTCTAAACACTATATTAATTGAAATTCAGTAATTTTTCATTATTTTGAAGTTACCTGAATGTTTGGAATGATTTATTTTACCGATTTGCTTTACAATTGTTTAATATTATAATTATGTTTATACTGCCCATTGCAAAATTAATGTGTTATCTAAAATTTTGACGAAGTATTTGCATTGTAAACCTTTTTACATGTACCTACACTTTTTGAGTACGATTCTAATTCTACTAATTTTTTAATGTTCTTTTGTGTCTTGATGAAAAAAATTAACATTTCGATTAACAAAAATATCCATACTGGCTTCTTCAAGAATTGTATTTTTTCGAACGCTTCGAATCACTACCTCTGAGATGAGAGGATTTCAGTGTTAGCAACATATTTTTTTAAATAGGTTTTGTGGTAGAGAACTACAAAGGCCTATGCCTAGGCTCTTCTAGCACTCTGATACTTTCCTCCTTATTTGGACAGAACTTCCCTTATGATTATGCGAATTTTATTTTATTTTTATAAGGTAAACGAAAGATACGTCTGTAATGTTATACCAAATGTAAAGAAGCGTGTTGCGTTATGTTTAAAATGAGTTTTCCCTTTACAAAATTTTATGATGTACGTTTCTGTAAGGATACGTTTATCTATCATTTTGCATACGCACAATGTAATAATAATAATGATAATAGTGTTGTATTTCCAAATTTTCGTGAAAATGGAGTGAGCAGTTCTTGATTTAATCAATACAATCAATTGACTCATTCATTAATTTTGATGAGTCACCCTATATGAGCAATTCAAAAACTTTAATGCAGTGATAAATCACAAGTATAGACACATCATATTTTGCACATTTTGCATGGGATTTATTTGGCAAAATTTTGAGATGATGTCGTCAATTTTTGGCGAGGATAAACAGATAGGTACATTCTGATTAAAAATTTACTATTCTTACAATAACTTTAAAACTTCTGCAAAATTTCAACGCATTTAGTTCTGTAGTTCTTGATTTAATAAATTGACTCATTCATTAATTTTTTTGAGTCAGCCTGTATAAGTAATTCTAAAAACTATCAGTGCGCTGATAAACCATAAGTACAGAGCCATAATATTTTGCATATATTCAGTTAAACTTTGAGATGACGTCATTAATTTTGCGGGGAGGGATAAACGAATACATTTTAATTAACGATGATTAGAATAACCTTAAAGCGTTTGCAAGATTGCAAAGCATTCGGTTTTGCATTTTCTAAGATAAATTGCAAAATATTGTGATGCATTTTTGAATTTTTTTCCCAAAAATCTGGATGTGCAGAAGCACCTTATTGTGTAAAATTAAAAAATACTATTATACATTTTGGCCATTATGTCATCCCATTGACGGTGGGCAAATTTTGGTCGTTTTATCATCTACATGATATTAATAATAGACATACAAAATTTGACAATAATCGGTCCATTAGTTTCGGAAATTATTATTATTATCATTATTATTATTATTAATTTCAACATTTACACTTTTTTTTTTAAATTATTAAATAATATTATAATATGTTTCATTTATACATTTGAATACCCTTTTCCAACTGTCAAAAAATATATCTATCTCATTCCCTATTTGGTCGAACTATTTACACATTTGGCAAAAAGG